ACTGAAGCTGCAAACAAGTAACCCCACAGTCACCAACCCAGTCATCTACACTTTTTTTCTACAAAACAGTGTGCAGCACTGTGCTGTGATGAGTAAACAGTTATGTGATATGTTTACTTTTGTGCTTTTATTGTTTAAGGTATGCAAGTTAACCAACTTGCTAACTGTTAGCTCATTGCCTAACTGCAGCCAGCCACATCAGTATTTACATTTGGTATGACTCAGTTTGTCAGCACTATCCACAGTACTTTTCATGTGACCTCTGTATTTCAAGATAGTTTAGTAATTTAGCAAAGCTAAATTAGTGTCTGAAGAATATATTTTGATCATAAACCACTGTAGAAAGCACAGTGCTACTCAGTGATTCTCCAACCATCAAATGTTAACTGTGAAAAAGGTAGCAAAAGCAGTTTCTCAGATCGCGGGACAGTTTATTACTTCCCAGTTGTACAAAATGTGGCAACTGAGAGTATTCATTCATTTACTGCAAAGACAAATTTACATTACCCACTCTAGCCTATTTACTACGCCTGCTGCATACATCCAATAATCATAAATTCGATGGTTCTGCCAATAAACATGATTTGGAATTGCTCTGTTACAATTCAAAGTGACTAAAGTGATTTAATCTTACTTAATGAACAATCTACTTTGGCAGCTAAACTTCCAAAGAACAGCAGCAGCATGACTGCCTGACCTCCTGAGTCCTGCAATGCGCGGGCGTCCTGCTGTGTGAACCTCTCTTGTCTCTGCAGTGACCACCCAATCATGATGGTATGGACTTTGAGGCTCTCATCAGGCTCAGTGTCTGCTTTTAAGGAAAAAGTTTTCACTAGAACCCGCCAAACGTATTGCTACAACAATACTGGTATGCCTCTGAGCTTTTCAGGTTATTTATAGCATCTCTGTCACTTATTCCACAATTACTTAAAAATACTTCCACATGTAACTCGCCACTTCTTCATATCGTCCTCCCATCCTTCTACGGTAGAAGGATAATTTAAAACAAAACCACCTCAGTTTAACGTTCTGTTGGGAACATATTTGTTGTTAGCGAGCCTAGGATTTAGCACATCTGTTTACAGCTTGCCGAAAGTTCTGCACATATTTTGTGCAAGGTATGATGAGGCTTGGAAATATCCTATACTGCCACGAGTACATAATTATCCGATGTAATTAAGTTTACTTTTGCATGACTTTTGTATCACTGATGACATTAACACCAGCTTAGCTAACAGGCTAATGGCCCAACCCAGCACAAAACTTTGTGGTGTCACTCCAGCATCAGTCAGATTTGAATCTTCATCCTCTAAACTTAAGCCAGTGGAGCATCAGCTGGAAATGAAGTTGTGCTGTGATGTGTGAAGCTGATGGCATACTAGCTAAGGCAGCACTACCTAGTGCTAACAGAACAGTATAGCGAAGCAAAAGTAGTTTAGTTAGCAGGCTAATAGCTCCACACACCACAACATGCACTCCCTCAGATTTCTATACTCTTAACTTGCATTAGTGGAGTATATTTAGTATTACCAGAGCTATGCTGAGGTGTGTGGGGCTGTTAACCTGTCTCCATGTTGCATGTTTTTGAGTGCGGGATATCTTTCTGTTTAGTTTGATAATTATGGGATTATGTACAAAAGCTTGACATTCACCACATACCGCTATTCATATTTTAGACAGATTTTGTTTTTCATTCACCATCATTCAGGGGCTTTAAGTGAGCATTAATTCTTTTCAACCTGGCTCTAGTGGCCTGTTCTCTGAACCCAACTAAATATCGACTCTGCAGACGTCACCTATCCTTTTTTCTCACTCTCCCTTCGGGAGTGATAGCCAGCCAGCTCTATCTCAAAGTTAGACCCTCCACATCACCAAGTGTCCCTCGGAACCCCTGATTCTCCCGCTCGGGCGGACATGTCAACAAGCATGCAGAAAAACGTGTATGGCATTCATTTGATCCTGGAGAAAAGGGTCAAATGCAGTTCATCCACAGAGCCTCTGCATGGCCCTTTGGAAAGGTTAGCGCCTCCTAGTGTACATGTATCAAATGCTGACGAATGGTAACCGGGCTTGTTCTGTTTTGCTGCTTTTTGTCTGTAGAGTAAAATCATTTAGCGTGACAAGATTTTTTTGCTGTTTGTCTAAACATTTTTCCCATCGACTCACCTTGCGTGAGTCCATTTGTACAAACATCAAAAGTGTAAAATAATCTTAGAATGCAGGGTTAGGACGAGTGACAAAGAATTGCCTGACTAGAACCAAGTTTTAAATTACAATACAAGGTCAGAGCCCCATATTTCCCACCTCCATTCAACCGGCATCAGTTACCGGAATGGACTCAATTACAAAAGTACAGGGTTTGGTCAAAACACTGCGTACAAGTTGAGCTAAGGTCACGCAGGCAAATTTACAGGGCATATGTTTGCAGTAGACGTGGCTAAAAAGCATCATGCAGTATTTAGCCAGAGGGATGCCTCTAGAGAAGTGAGTCATCATGCGGTGTACTCTTTCTATTTTCTTAAAAAGAACATTTTCTGCATTGCTGAAAGCATCTACTTATCTAATAGCAATAAAAATAATGATTTGCTAAATAAGGTAAGAGGCTTTTATGGCTCTAAAGAAGGTAATGTCATATGTGCCACGTCTACATGAGATTTAATATAAGAACAAAGACTAGATACGCCCACCTGATATATTAGATCACTACTGGTGCTGATACTGATCTTCTTAAATGGATCAGGCATCAGCCAAATGTGACCAATCCAGATTTGATACTATTTCACACTTGTCAGGGTCTTTATAAAATTGTAACAGCAATTTATCCAGTAGCTTCTTGTGTCACACACCTCTTTTACTTGTTATATTTATTGTTTGTCTTTTATAGTTAGGCATCCTCATGTTACTGTACAGAATTTACAGAGCGTACAGATTTAAAAAGTAAAAATGGCATCAAAAATCAAGATCAGGATTGGATGCTGGAGTGTATGTGTGTGTGTGTATATATATATATATATATATACACACACACACACACACACACACACACACATATTTTGGATATATATCTATATATAAAAGAATGAATCAGTTCTGAATGTTACAAATCTAGAATCTAGCCTGAAACAGAACTGCCAGTAGAGCCAAAAAACAAAGCAAAGTAGGTCACAATGTTAACCACATGATAACATCACATGATAAAAGTAGCCACATAACCAGAAGCCAATGTTAACATGAGATCAAGTTGCATAGGGATGAGCCTATCAACCATTTTTCAATAAATAGATGGCCATCTTCAAAGCATTTAATACGGAAACTTTCACTTTTAAAAACCCTTCAACTGAGTAATAAAAAAGCTGCGGTTATGTGCAAGTCATGTTGTTGGCTATGCATTTCTTCCTGTAGGCAGAAGAGAGTTTGAGCAGTTTAAGTACAGTATCTTAAAGGGACACTTCAGCTACATATACTGTATACATACCTACTTGCCCCCCACAGAGTGAGATATTACAGTCTAAAAACTAGGAAAACCCCTCTTCTGATGACGTATCTTTAAGTTGGACGTAAAGTTTGAAAATGAGTGTATTTCAGCATTTCAGGGCACATATACTGATTATGCCAGGTGGATGTGGCTCCCACTCAATTTAAAGCATCTCGCGATCTGGTGTGCACTGCTAGTGCCGCTCGAAAGCTCCAGCTCAGTTGGCAAAGTCGTATCATATTTTAACAATAGTCAATAGTAATAATTCTAAATACACAAGTGAATATTTATGCTGAGCATGAACAGGTACAACAGCTTCTTTGGTGGCATTTTTATTTGAGTTGTTGATAAACTATGCAACAATTTAAGTAAGGAGGCTTTACGTGGTAGTATACAGTATAGCAGTTTCTCTACCCATGCCACTATGTAAAAAGCGGCCAGCTAGTGAAGGCAAATTGAACACACCCAAAGTAAAACTGCATGGATTTTGTGGGCTGTTTTGATGTTTTTCTCTTCTAACTGGAGAATACACACGGATTCATTACATCATTACTGCTACGAATCCAAATAGCTTTGAAAGCAATATAATTGTAGAACTGCCTTCATTACAATGCAGAGAATGGATTACTCAATGGATAGATGGGAAAGCTAGCAGTCAGGATTGACTGACACTACAGGGATTCCCAATGGCTGTACAATGTATTGCCCAACGCATGGTGTAATGAGCGAACACTGATCAATAAACACATGTAATTGTCTTGTGAAATTTGTCAAGCCAACAATGCTTCAATTTAAAACAGCCCTTTTTAAAACTAGTACTAGAGTACTGAACTGCTATCAGTATTGGCCGATACTCAAGATTTCAGTGTCCGTATTGGTATTGGGAGTAAAATAACTGCATCTATCGGGAGAGAAAGTGGGGTCGGTGCATTCCTAGCAAAGGCACAAGAGCATTCAAATGGCTAAAAAAAAATACCAAATACAGACAAACAGTAAAAGTAGTCAAAAAAGTAATGACAAATCAGCACAAGCACAAAAGTTCAATATGTGACTGCTGAGCTGATTCTTCTGCTCACTGTAGTTCCACACTATTGTCCACAGTGCCTCTTCAAACTCCCATTTCCCTGGCGTTCTGCGAAATCCCCCAACACAGGAAAGCCGCTCACATTTGTGTGTGTGTGTGTATATGTGTGTGTATGTGTGTGTGTGTGTCTGTGTGCATGCCAACACGGATCCCTGCTGTTTTTTCCTCTCTCTCCCTCATTCGCACACAATGGGCACCGGGCAACTCTTTCATCCTCCCTCCGTTCTTCACTTTCGGACTTCGGATTTCCAAAGACAAGCTGAATCGTTTGTGATCGCACCACTTTCCGCGCTGGGACACACTCGCGGCTGTTTGCGCTCTACAGCTTTGTCCTAACTCCCCTGTCCCCCCTGCCCCCGCCCCCTCTCCGGTTCACACGAGCTGCAGGGTGGAGGAAACTGACTTTCCTGGAATTGTCAGGTTCAGCGTGGAACGAGCGACAGGCCGACACAGACGTTAGTCACAACTAGCGTCCCGCTTTGCCGGACCCTAAGCCACCAGGAGAAGGAGTCAGAAGGGGAAACTGAGGGAGGAGGGATGGAGGAGGGTGAGCCGGAATGATGCAGGCTGTTAAGTTGCCCCAGATGAGGCTGTCTACATGAGGCATGAGACTCTCGTCGCTTTCTCGATTCGGGTCGTTGGTCTTTATCATCAAGAGAGATGTCTCCACTGTGTGGTCTGGGGCGAAATCCATCGGTGGGTAACTGGCGAAAACACATGTGAAAGATGTGTGTGTGTGTGTTTATGAGCGTCCAGTGATGTGTGTGCGTGTGTGTATGTGCACGGAGGGCAGAGAGTAAATAATTTCTTCCGAGTGCCATTAGGTGGAGATGACTTATGACTGCACACTCCTGACTGCTAATGTTACGGCTGCAGTTTTTATGCAACATTCTTTTTGTCTGGGAAGGCATGTTTACAAGTTGTGAGAATGTAATTTAGCATACGTGGAATGTATGTATTCAGTGTATATTTATCATCAGACTGAGGTTCATTGCATTGCATTGCTGAAAGTACATTTAAAGTGAAGTGAACAGTGTTCTGCAACAGAGTGATTATACTAAAATGCAATATAATCTATGTATTTAGATTCTGTTTCTTTCTAAACTGCTGATGGATTGATAATATAGAAATTAATACCATCTAAATATAATTTTAAAATTCAGTATAATCTAAGCACTTATGCACTTAAGGTCCTTACAGGCATTGGGTTTGTTGAGATGATGTATTTTCGAGTTTAAGAGCAAACGTGAGCAGTGAGGGCAGCAAAGCATCCCTATTGGGATGTAGGTCAGTGACGCTAGCTTAGCCTCTAAAACACCATAAACAATGGCATCAGTCTCTGTTCTCCAAGGATTCTAACTGAATCCTTTTCATACATATTTATAGAAAAAAATAATAAAAAGTAAAAGACTGTATATCTGAAGCAATTACACGAAAGTCCAAACTAACAGCGCTTATTTCTCCAGACTAAATTAGATCTGTACATAGTGAGTGAAATGAAATTCGGTGTCAGACACACAATGGGAACCTGCTAAGCTCCAGTAATGGTGAGTCAGACAGTAGCTTGATGATATTTTTCCTGATACCTAGGAAAGCAGAGAGTTTATGTAGAGGTCAAGGCTTTGGTATGTGGTAGATATGGAGCACTGGAGTGGGGGGTGTGAATGTGTCAATTATGGAAAGCAACAGATGCCCCTGAGACAAAGGAGCTACTGTTTGGCTGGTCAGGAGAGGAAACATAACGGTTAGATAAGAACCACGTTTTGGCTTGTTAAGGAAGTGCCTGACATGTATTGTGCTGTAGATTGTACGTATGGACCAGTAAAAGCCATCTTGAAATGCTGAAACGATCTTTGAAAAGTTTGCAGCTGATGAATACAATTACGTACATTATTGTTCAAAAGTTTGGAAACACTTTTCGAAAGTGTGGAATGCTTTCAATACTATAAAACCAGTTTGGTTTCAGATGAACGTATAAAAGGATTCTAATACACTAGTCTTGTTAAACTTGTGAATGAAAAAGAAAAAGGTTTTGATGTGTCCAGAAGAATGAATGGAGCGGCAGAACATATTACAATGACTGAGAAAGCTGTGTGACATGAAAAAAATCAGAAAAAATAGTATTCAGAAAAATTAGTATGCAGAATTCATATTTCCAAAGTTGAAATCAAATCTCAAGGCAAGCTACTTGACAAAAAATGAATGCAAATATACTGAACAAAATAAATACAGCTCATGGTTTTGCTCAGCAGTTCCAGGACCATTTCCTGCTACAGGCAATTTGTCACTCTCTTTATGAACCTTCTTGTTTTGCGCCAGATTTCAGGAAAATCTTTTCAGTAAAAAGTGTTGTGTTTGAATTTTTGTATGGATATATTCATAGATATTGAACCAAACATTTAAAAATACCTGTTGACAAATAGTTTGTAATATTTAAGTCCACAATGCATAAGTTATTGCTGTATATGGATCTTATGTACAGTAATATATATAATCATATCAAAGTGAAATAAGAATTTCAATAACAATATGATGAGTTACTGCCCAAGAAAACATCTGAAAAAGAGGTTTTGAGTTTAACCATTTCTCCTTTTTCTAACCTCACTATGAACCTACAAGTTAGCCTATTTAAGACACATTGTAACTCAATTAGGATAATAGTCCATAATAATGGAGGACAATGGGACAATGAAAATGTGTTGGGCTTGTCAATTTCCAACACATCATAGTGTGAACATTCACAGGCTCCCCGCTGTTGTGTCATTTGTGTCTTTTTCCAATTCTGTATGACAACACCCAAGCCAGTTTAACCTAATTTCTTCATGCCCTCTCTGTGTACCCCCCTTTTCAGATAGCTGCCCGGCTTCCCTGGATTTCGCTGACGCCCTCCCCGCTTCGCTCCGCCTGAAAGGATGGACGCATTGGAGTCGGAGCTGACCTGCCCAATCTGCCTGGAGCTCTTCGAGGACCCGCTGCTGCTGCCCTGCGCCCACAGCCTGTGCTTCAACTGTGCCCGACGCGTCCTGCTCTCTCATTGCGCCTCCAGCGAGCCCGTAGAGTCCATCGGCGCCTTCCAGTGCCCTACCTGCCGCTATGTCATTGCCCTGAGCCCACAGCGTGGCCTGGACGGACTCAAGCGCAACGTCACCCTGCAGAACATCATCGACCGCATCCAGAGGGCGTCGTCTGCCACCACGCTGCTTCTGCCCACCAGTGGGCCCAACTCGCCAGGCGACGAGGGACGTCCTCCGCCTGCTTCTCTCGCCGCCATGACCACCACTCCCTCCCCCGAACTGGTGCAGTGCCAGTTCTGTGAGCAGGACCCACCACAGGATGCTGTGAAGACCTGCGTCACCTGCGAGGTGTCATATTGTGAGGAGTGCCTGCGTGCCACGCACCCCAACAAGAAACCCTTCACGGGGCACCGCCTCATTGAGCCCCTGCCGGACTCGCACCTCCGAGGGCTGCAGTGCTTGGAGCATGAGGAGGAGAAGGTGAACATGTACTGCGTGACAGATGAGCAGCTCATCTGCTCCCTTTGCAAGCTGGTGGGCCGCCACCGCGACCACCAAGTGGCAGCACTGAGTGACCGCTATGAGAAACTGAAGGTACATCGAAAATCTTCTTAATTCTGAATGAGAGCTTTTGGTTGAACTGGGATTAGTAATGTGCAAATGTATATTTACCTGTACTGCTCCCTGTGCAAACCGGGGGGCCACCACTGTGACCACCAAGTGGCAGTACTGAGTGAGCGTTACAAAAAGCTTAAGGTGTGTCGAGCATCTCGATCTTAGCATCTTATTAGTGGGATTAAGATTTGAAAATCTGTAGATATATTGTTGCCATCATAAGATGATCTCGAGTTTTATTTTTATACCTCCAAACTTCACTTCATTTTTCCCTGTTTTTATTTCTTTAAACCATTTGAATGATGGCTCTCCATTACAATACACCTCTGACATGTTCTGTAGTTGTATTAGAAACAATGGGTCTAAGCAAATGTGTCAGTGAGACAAGTGAACGGCATTTTTGGAAATCAAAAATACAGATACGTTTAGTCCGCGATTATCACTAGATCCCCTGAATTACGAGGTCAGTAGAGAGTCGAAATACAAATATTTCGCTGCTGCACACCGAACTTACAACCTTACCAATGTGTAACTTCGAGCTTTGTCAAGTGTGGTAGTTTAGTTGCTTTGGCAGTAGTAGGCTATAGTTTGAGTAGTTGGTGTTGGTTTAATAGTAGACTTACTGCCATGCAACATCATTTCAATGCACTGGAGTGGTAGTTAGCTTGGAACGGACACATTACAAAATGGTTTGGAAATTTTGGCGATTTTCAAAAAATGCCATTCAGTGTCATTCATGTTTATCACCATTACATAACCAGTTCAGAGATACAAGGTTTTACTTATGACAGTGACAATATATTCAAATATTGTTGCTATTGGAATAAAACCTTTTATCTCCAAAAGAATAAAATTACAGGAGTCAGTACATGACATTTTGTCAGGATAACTGCAGAGTCACTCACTTTACTGAATTATTTTTCGGCTTGTTTAAGCAGTCGTGTCCTATAGCATCCGCTGACAGGGCATCGTCCAACAATGCATTTGCCACAAAAAGTTTTGTTCAGCCTTATATTTCGGAATGTCTGCAAGAACACCCACAGAAACTGATATTTTTGGAAAATGAAAAGTGACAGAGTGTCAACACTGATAACCGGGCTACTGCTTTGTGCAGTGCTTGCTGCCCCAGGCCAGAACAGAGCCATCTAAGGATGGATAAGCCCAGCACTTAAACCCCAGTGAGAGAGAGAGCACTCAAAATGTCTGTGTTGGCCAGATGTTTAGCATCCCCAGCTGAAGCAGATTAAAATGGGCAGAGAAGTAGTTCCCAGAAGCACACTGTCAGATTATAGAGCATACTTTTGTATGCTTTGTTCCTGAAATTATGAAGAAGAAAAAAGCCTGGTTTGAGAATTGGTGTATGTTGGTGTAGAAAGGATCAATATCCTCTTATTTTAACGCCACCAAATGATGTCAATGTTGCGGCAGACCTTAACTGCTGGAGGTGCTGTGGATATGTTCCAATTTGTTAATAGTAAATCAACAAAGAGCTAAAATCATAATCATGTTAATGTGGAGTCAATTAGTCATCGTTATGCTTATTAATTGGGGTAGTAAGGTATAAATTGCATGAGTACAAAAGCCCAAGGGCTTAATTTTCCACTATTTCTGCTCAAGATGAAATGGCCCACCTCCCAGCCTCATTAGAAAAAAAGGAAGCTGAAACACCCCTCAGTGTTTCAGGTTAAGCAGTTCTAATTGCTCTCCCCATAGTGAGAGTGCTTAATTGAGCATAGCTGTGTTAGTGGGCAGCCCTACTGGGAAATGGGGCTGGTGCTCACCCTCCCCTCCTGGATCACTAAATGGAGCTGGGCTTACTGATTCAATACTGCAGGCTGGAGTAACTGCTTGAACAGTTACTGCTCAAACAGTGTCCTCAACTCTCGATTTTTTTTGCAGTGAATGTTAAACCCCAAAGGTCTCTAGACATATTTTATTTATGACTTATTACTATTTATTACTATCTATTTATTACTTTTACTGTTGTGATAAGTCATATTTAAACACTCGGATGGCTAAGTAATAGAAAAATGCAGGTAACAATTTATTTGGGGTGGTACTTTGTAGATGATTAAACGCTTAACAGATTATCAGTAACACATTAACAACATGTCAGTGAAGTAGCAGCAGTGTAGCATCTGAATACACTGAAGTAAACATCTTGATGTTCTGTTGATACATTACTTACATTAAGTAGATGCATTGTTAATATATTACTTCCATTACCGAATACCTAACCCAAACGCTGGCCCTAATCCTAACCCTGACCTTAACCTCGACCCAAAACCTAATCCTAACCCTCATATGTTTTTCACATGTTACTGAGAGTCCATTGAGTGTTTGTTTCTTATAAGCTCTCAGGTGGATTTGATCCTCTCTTCAGAGGCTTGTACCCAAACTTGTGAAGTGATGTGTCATTAACACTAAGAAACTCTAAAATTCACATCAAAATTTCAAGGCTTCCACTTTTCACTCAGTTATGTTGACAATATAATTTGTAATGAAAAACAAACATTGTATGAAATTAGAAAAGGTGCAAATTAGAAGCATGGTTGTAGTAACAGTCTCAGATCTACGAGCCCACTGTATATAAAAAAATGCACTGAACATTTTTGGAAACTTTCTGAAATTTTCAAGAGCACTTATGGTGCCTCAGATCAGAGGTATTCAAAAGATGTTCAGGGTATTTTAGCTGCTTATTCATACAACTTTAACCTCTAGACACATTCTCACAGTAATTGTCCAGGCATTTAGGACACCTGTCAGGGCTCTGGACGTGTGAACAGCCATCTGGTGAGAGCTTCTTTTTTTTTCTTCCCTAGAGAGAGTGGAGGGTTAAGACCCTGTAATCCGCTCTGACCCCCAAAACTATCAATGGGATTAGACAGAATTGCCACAGTGAAAGCTGAATACATTCAGGGAAACTAGCTCTGACTATGTCTCGTGAACATGTGAACAACAGGTTAGACACATTTCTGTTGTTACTGATGTTTATTCTCAAACCTCAAATTGCTGAATAATGTTTGGAAAATAATATGTTTTGAAATACACTTGTAAGACATGTAGATGAGTGTGTCTGTGCTCTTAAAACAAAGTTCTGAGCACTGCAGATTTTATCATTATTCATTTCTTTGTAAATTATTCAGTGCTTTGGAAAAACAAAAATAGAACTACAAGCTCTATCAACTCTGGCCTCTTGCATTTTGAATAACCCTCTGCTCGGTATGACAGTGTTGTCATGGTGAAAATGTCAGGCCTCAGCTTTATAAGGCCTTTTCTTCCAAAGACACAATAAGCCAGATTTATTCTTTCAACAAAATCAAACAACTTTTCCACAAATGTTCGACCACTACAATTTTAATAACATTAGCATGAAAGTTAATGAAGTAGAATAAATCAGTAAAACTGGTTGCTGATAACTTTGCAAAATATACTACAAAAACATCATATTTGTATTTACATTAAAACATTGCATTAAATGTTGTACTCATATGAATGTGATTTCATTGACCACAGACGTTCTTACAACTTCTGACCTTCTTACTATTTTACACAACTGAAAGTAGCACAACTGAACCTATCATTCACTGCCATCTTCCCTTCTCCAGTCACAAATATACACAAACACACCCTGCCCAGACTCGTCCTTGCTTTGTTGAGACTGGATTACAATGCAGTTTGAAAGGGGAGGAAACCAAAAGGAAACTGCCAAAAATAGAGTGGTCTTTTCTTGGTGGTCTAAGGGCTTAGGTCAGATACCACAGATGCGCCAAACCTTAAATAACCACTGACGATTTGTTTTAGTTACACAAGAACCTCCAAGAGTTTACTTAAATCCAGTAGTTCCATTGACTGCATGAGAACTAATGTAATAAAGAATGTGTTCGAGCATATTTGCTCTTTGCTTGGACATGTTTAAACAAAGAGCTGGAACTTATTAAAATCAGTTAACTGGATAAACTGTAGTTGCCAGAACTGCTATTTTCAACATTTGGACTGGGACTATGTATGTCTTGTAATGAGATATAGCCATCATAACCAGAAGGCAGGATGAAGACAAAAGTCATCTGTATTAAATCACCACAGTACACTGGCCTATCATTTTAGATCTCTGCATTGAATTAAACTGAAACCAAAGGAATGAAAATGGCTTAATATAAAAGTTTGCCTTTTTCAATTTGACTGATATAAATTAGGCTTTTCAAAAGGCCCATATCCTACATTTTTCTTGTACTAATTATGTCATAATTCAGTTTTACCTTACATTTCCAATTTCTCTTCGTACCTTAGAATTAAACAGACTGTTTTTGTTACTGTGCCTTGCCTTCGAAACCCTGTGCAAATGAGCTCAGCTCTGTTTGGCTGCCCTTTATTCAGAAAGTAGTCTGGGCTGAAACACTCCTTATAATTTTCAGTATGGATGGGATTAAATGCTGTAGGCTGAATAGGTGGATACACAGTCATATGCAAAAGTTTGAACACCCCTGGTCAAATTACCTGGTTTGTTGATTTTCTAAGGTAAAATAAGTTAACATATCCTCAGTAGTGGTCATCAACCCTGGTCCTGGAGATCTACCTTTCTGCAGAGACTAATTCCAACCACAGTCTGCCACACCTGCTCCAGCTAATTAATTTCTTCAGATGTTCTAGATTGTGTGGATCACACGCATTGGGTAAGAATGAGGTAGCAATTTAGATGTAGGTTAGAACTAAATTACAGGCAAGCAGATCTCCAGTGGGAGGGTTGGTAAACACTACTCTATAGGGAACAAACTTAAATGTGGCATTTTTCTGTAAATTTTAGTGCACAATTATTAATTTTTTATTAATATTATTTTCTGCTGAGATTAAAGCTAAAATAAGATTTGGGGATTTGGAGACCTCTCTGGTGGAAACATGTAATTGCACACATCCTGCAGAAGAACATTGTGTAATGTTGAGTGTGCTTTGGGCCAAGAAAAAGATTTCAGTGAAAACTTGGTGAAGGACATATCTGAAGATGTGAATTATCTACTGTTGTCATCATGTCTTTATCAGTATAATCCTGCTTTTGTGTGAGACCTAAACATCGAGCTGGAACCTACTTTTTAAGCCTGAGCGTGTGACGTTAACATGTGAAGGCGTATGACATGATCCGAAAGACTCCTGTGAAATCCAAACCGACACCTCGGACTTGTAAATTACTATTTCAGGCTTTACAAGGTGACTCGCAGCAGCACATGCACACCATATTTTAGCATGTTGTTTATTTCTCAGTCTCTCATTCTTACATAGAGCAGCTTTAACATATTGGGGAAAAAAAGAGAATATAAACAATAAAATGTGCCATAACTTTTGCACAGTCTGCATTTTATGCTTTATTCCCTCAATATGTTACCTTCATCAAATTAACTATAATTTTCTGTAAACAGCCTATTTTTTGTAGTTTAGTTTCCATATAAAGACTGTATGGAGTGGGGAATGAACAGTGTGAACTGAAACATAAACAAAGTTTACAAACTACATCAAAATCTTTAATTTCAATAAGTGAGGAAACTGTGTTTTTCCATTATGTGGACCCTTTAAAGTGAAAGAGACTGTTTTTTAGAAACTCTGTAAAGCCGCATTAGAGTGTGACATGTGAAAGGCAGAAGAAAAGTAGAATGGACACAGTGGAAAATTAAAACTGGAGCACAGCTCTCTTTTGCTAACCATTTGGCTCAGCTCCATCTCAGGTTTAGGAGAAAGGCTTCCTTCCTAAGGGACACACACATGCAATGACCATCATTTCAGGCACTTCCTGAACCGTCTCTTGAGACATCATCATAGTAAGATAGTATTTCTGTGATTGTGGTTTCTAGGCATTGACTTAGAAGCCAATCAGGTGTCAGTTTATTCAGTGGTCACCTTTTGCAAATGTATAGCTTTATAAACTGTATTCTCTCATCTTTGTTTCTCTGTCTAGCATAGGTGCTACACATTGCTGAAAGCTACTTGTTTCAAACAGTAAACATAATCATAGTGTTTATCTCACAGAAAGACAGCTGGGTAGTATTAGGGGTTCAGACACAAATTGCAGAACACTACATGGCATTCAGCCTTATGAGGGAGGAAAGTGGATAGACACAGTCGGAAAAGAGAGATCTGTCCCATTGCCCTTTGGAAAAACAGCAAAAGGCAGACTGCGTAGGATGTTAAAAGTGAGCGAAGGTGAATGTTTAAGGAAAATAGACATTACATAAGTACAGACGGAGTTAGTTTTACACGGGGAGGTGATGTAAAGTTATATTAACACAGGATGTCTGTAATATTTATGATTAGCATGGGACAAGAAACCTCAGTATACATTACAGAGTACAGAGCTGGGAGTGACTACTCGATTTACACGCTGCCATCCATACACAATGCATTCCGCTGCTGAAGTAGAAAATGTGCCCAAACATTAAATTTAACCACAATTCTACTTAGCTGCCTTAAGTAAACGATGCAGCATTAGCAATGTGTTAATGTTGGCAGCATTTCTGGATGTTGTTGACATATGGCTTCCACTGTGCCTAGTAGAGTCTTAACTTGCATTTGTGGATACAGTGACATCAAAGCATCCCAAGCTCATGTGTTGACATCCATTACAGAAGCATTCTGATTTTTTGCAGTGCCATCTGAGGGGTCAAAGGTCACAGGCATTCACTTGTGGTTTTGGCCCTTGCCCTTTATGCACAGAGATTTCTCCATATTTCCTAAATCTTTTGATGATAGTGTGCACTGGAGAGCGTAAAATACCTAAAAACCTTGCAATCCCTGGCCAAGGAACGTAAGAGTCGACCCATCTTAGCTCAAAGGGCTTGGCCTTTCCTGGATTCCTCTTTTATACCCAAACATAACTGTATCACCTGTGTAAGATGTTTTTTTTTTTTAAATTTCACAATGTTTCTGGTCTTAAATTAACTCTTCACAAGTTTTTTGTGGAATGTGTTGCAGGCATCGGTTTTAGAATTTGGATATATTTCTAAAAAAGTGTGTTTCACAATGACGAGTGAGTTGATTTATTAGAATTTTTTTCTGCTTCTAACAATCCAAGTAATCACAATTATGAATTTTGACAGAGTCTAGAGAATCTTACTCCACATCTCACATGCCCAGTTTCAGTACAAATAGTTTAGTTTTAGTACAAATTTTATTATCTTTTCTGTCCTTTTCTCAGTAATGACTTCTTGACAGCTACACATCCTTTCAGAACTCACTGAGTTGTCCTCTCACAGTGGAAGGATGGACAGAAACACCTTTGAATTTTGTCAGTTCTGAATCAAGTGTGGAGCTTGATTTTCTCCTATCTCTCACAGATGAAAACTTTAAGTGCTGTTTATCTGATGGAGACAGTTTTGGTGGTCTACCAAGTCCTGGTTGTTATGAATCTCATTTTCTCTGCATCTTTTACTAACTTTTATAACACTAGTTTCGGAAATCTCCTCAAAAATATTTCTTTTAGTCCTCATGAGAAAGAAACTTGTAAGGCAGCTAAGCTGAGTTTGTGCAGCATAATGTCAGTGCCACCTTTGGGAACAGCTTTTGTTGGGGAGACAAAGCTGTAACTTGTTGGTGTTAAGATTGAAAGAATAGAAGAGTTAGAACAGCATTAGGATGCACAAAAGAAAGAGCAGACAAATACTTACAGATTTGATATTATACTCAGTGTTTGAGGCTTTTGTGCAATTTTCTGTTTTCATGCTTTTATTTCCCAACACTGTAAAATGACCTTTACTAAATAGCCATTTTGAACTGAAAATTAACTTTGACATAGTACTGTATATAATTAAATTGAAACTTATGTACTTAATTAAATCAGTGTACATTTTAACTAAACTAAACTCAATTTCACCTTCTTTAAATCCAACAAAATCACTCTTGCTCTTTTCTTTCACAAACCATGCCTTACAGCAGAGGGGTATTTTCAGGTCCTTAAAATAGTGTTTGATGAAACAAATATCACACACTACAGAATAATTTCATGGATATTTGGGGCAATTAGATAGTTTGGATAATAATCTGCCCACTGAGAACTGGTCATGACTGCCCCACAAGAGAACCCCAGAAATTAAAATGGAGTTCTATTCTTATATCTGCCTCTCAGCATGCTTTTTCAAGACACTATACAATGTTAATGCCTTGCAATAAATCCCTTCCTGATAAGAGTATCTATATTTGGCATCACTGATGAAGCCTTCGCTATAGAACTCGAAGCCCTTTTGCGTCATCCCAGCACTAAGGCTCATCCATTAGCTGGTACATCACTGGCCTGCGTCTGTTTGGCACGATATTTACCTACTGGGCAAATTTAATCTCCACATCCCATTTTGGCTCAACATGCTCGATTGAGCAATAATAAGATGGCATGCAAAAATAAAGGAGACAGAGCATCCTTGTTTCTGGGCAAGGGAGGAAAAAAAAATGCATCTCGACATCTTACGTAAAAGACACTTGATAGGTAGAGGGGATGTCAGAAAGGGGCTATTGATGCTCAATTTGCTGGTCGAGTGGGTCGAGTTATTTATATATATATATTTTTTTTTCCAAGAGAGCTTCATTCCCGGTTGAGGTTATTCCAGTCGAGTTTGTCGGAATCTAAGCTTGTAGACAAGCGGTCGCGATGAGGAGGTATCGGACAGAGAGACAGTGCCCCGAGGTCAGTGGTTCAACCTCCAAAAACTGAAAGTGACAAGGCTTCGTATAGGAAATAATGGGGCAGGAAGTCTCTAAACGTGTTCAGTTTATTTGCTCTTTGCTTTGGTAAAGACGCTTTTAAACCTGCAATTTTTTGCAAAGTTTTTCTCTTAGACTTAAAAGTATGGTGGGTTATATGTTTTTATCGGTTTTATGATTTACTTACCCTTAAGGCTTTATCTTTCTTCTTACGTCGCTTAGGAAGTATTTTTGCTCTTGTTTCACAGCAAACATTGGACTGTAACCTCAGTAGTTTGATCAAGAGGAACAACGAGCTGGAATCTCTGATGGGGAAGCTCATTCAAACCTGCCAGCATGTCGAGGTGAGTGGTATCAGCTGTTGCTCTTCATTTTGGAGTCTGGAAGTGTAATGCATGTACACTCAATGCCTAATGCTACAATGCTAATATACAGCCTCTCCAGAGAGAATGTGTACTGTGGCTGTAGTATTCCTAACAGAAGTTTTTTTTGTTGTTGTTGGTTTGTTTTTATCTTTTTCCAAGTAAAATATTTGTGTAATGTTAAAATTACGAGATGTATGTATGTGCAGTGAAGTTCACTGGCTTTACAAAAACATCCCTGACTGCTTGAGGTTCTGTTTTCATTTCAAATCTGTTACCAGGTTGGCAATTAGAAGATTTCGTTTTAATAATATTATCCTCTAAAATGTATAGATTTAGATGTATAGATGTATTTTTCAAATGTATTTGAAAAATGAAGACCAGTGTCTAATGATTGATGCTCCATTATACGCACTGAATTTTCACTTATTTTGAATGATTGAATTATAGAGTCCAAATTATTTAATTAGAGTGAGCAAACTGTTAAATTAGCCCTGTCTGTTATTTAAGAGAGTACGTGTGTGCGTGCGTGTGTGTGTGTTTGTGCATGTGCGTGTGTGTGTGTGTGTGCGTGCAAATGTGTGTGCTCTGTCCTAGTTTAAAAATAGAAGAGTGCTATAGTGGACAGGACCACAAACCCACAGTTGTAGAGCATTTCTGCTCTTGTGCACAGCAACCAACAAATTTTAGACATAGATTACAAAGCCATTAAACTAAACCTGGATATCACTGGATATCAAGTCACTTTCCATTTTCCTTTAAACATTATTCTTATCTGTAGCTCAAGAGGCATTTTCTGAGAAATATTATGATTGCAACTAATCTGTTACCAACAAAAAAAATGGACTGGAAGAATGCTTTACCATATTTTAAGTGAAATGTAGTGACATATGGACAGATAGATGCATTATGGTTGCTCTAAAGCAGTGCTGTGGTTTACTTAATTATTAATTGCCAATTATTCCTAATACTAGTTATAAATGCTACATCTTTTTCAACACTGTCAGATATACCCATGATGTTGATTTCCATTTGCTTTTATTTAAACTTGCACTTGGGAAGAGATGGCATGATACCACTTAGTGATACTAATATCAGTGTTGAAATCTTGAGGATCAGCCAAAACAGATTCAATTTGTTCTTGAATCTCTTTTCACAGTAGGCATAAAATGCAATTTCCACTTGCTTTGGAGGGCCCTTAGTTGAACTATGCATTTTTTCTTTACTAATCTTGATGGAAGAGATTATTTTGTTGGAAATGTGCAGGACTGACGAAATCAGAAGTGAACTGGATTTTTGTCTTTTTTTATGTGAGCAAGCAACTTTTGTTTATAAAAAATAGAAACTTTTTCTATAAGCAGAAAGATTTATCTTTATCTTTAGTTTTATCTCAGCTGGGCTGTCTTTGTGGAGAGATGTGAAATGTTCATAGAGCAGCGGGCTCTCCCTCCTCCTCTTTCACTCCTCATTGCTCGCTAGCAGCTCAACACAAAAATCATTTTACACCCAGAGAGCCAACGGTGTCCTATCTGATCATTTTGAAATTTATGATTATGCATCAGTGTAACAACCTTCATAAGATGATCGCTGACCACTGAATTCACACCCACTGTATTTGTGAATAGCATGCAGAGAACACTATGTCCTGAATTAGCATACAGTTCACAATGGCTCTTATTCATCCAAGTACCACAGATTTGGCTGCCTTTACTGACGTATGAACTACTTTGTGTCTGTTGAAACTTTCATACAACGTGGAAACAAGCGGAGATTTGAACACAAATGATGAATCAGCTTCAGTGCATGAAATCAAGTGCCTACCAGCATCTCGTTAACATATTTACATGAAGCACATTCTAATTCAGGCAGATATTGTGGCAGAGGGCCAATAAAATGACATCATTCAGCAGCTTGTGAGCCAATGGCTGACTCGTAGGCGGAATTTGACGCGTTTAATTTGTTATTTTTTTGGGCAGTGCGACAAGCATAAAACAAAAGCACAGTTAGTATGTCTTTAAATGAAATATGGAATAGTTGCAGCATGGAAAATAAGTACTGGACTGCCACATGCTCAAATTATTAGTATTATTATTATTTTTCATTTTAAAGCTTATTACTGGTGTTACAGATGATCCTGATTACAGTTAGTGAACTGCAAATCAAGCATTGTTTTCAGGCTTTTAAACTATTATGCTGTACATCGTAAAGATAAGCTAAAGCTAAAACTGATAAATAACAAAACCGTTGGTGAAATTTGTTTGATATTTTTTTTACCATCAGATTTGACCATAGGCAACTTTGATGACTAAGGGTCAATGTCACTATACTATGTACTCCACAAATGCTCAGCTACAATAGTGAAATTGGTCTAAGAGTATGCATATCAAACGAGTATAATGCCTTTACCACACCTGTCTAAAAGTGCTTATGACTTTGCCTCCAGAAGAGTTTCAGGTCTAGAAGAAAACTGAAAACAGAATGTGTCTGCAAATCGGGTGTGTGTAAATAATGCATTTAGGGAAGTAAACACAAAGATGAAAAGCCTGTCCTCTTTTTTCGTGTTGTATTTGGGTCACTGGAGTTTGGTTCTGACGTTTTTGCATACGCCCATGCCCTTTTAGAGCTTGCGGTGCAGACTTGGAGTGTGCATCATGCATGGTTTAGCATGTTATGTGACCATGCACAATTAATTGAGCTGTAAGTGGGAGAAAACTCAATATTATTGTTAAACTGCAGAAAAAAGTGGAGAACATAAAGTTAGATTTGGAAAGCTCAATACAAATTAGGGTACATCACTGCTAAGGTGGCACAAATGATACAAAAGAGCAAAATGCAGATGAATATCACTGAAATGTCTGCAAAGACAGTCTCCAGTCTTAATTTATAATATAATGCTATTTGTGCATGTGCATAATAATGTGAAAATGCCAAGTCTTGTTTCAGGCCACTTTTTGGAGAATTTTTGGACTTTTTAAATATGTTAGTATGATAAGGATAGACCATTTGCGACTTGCCTATTTTCGTAGTGTGCAGCTCCCTTTTTTCCCCCCAGTTAGGGAAGTGCTGATATGGGAATTGTAGGCCAATGCAGATATCCAATATTTTTCATGTACATATCTGCTGAATACACCACTGTCAATATATAGCATTTATAAAATGTAAAACTGGACTATATCTAACTTGAGAAGTGAATAAAATGCAGACATTTCAGTGCAGTAGTCCTGCATCATCTGAATGCTTTGTACAGTACAATAAATACATAATCAAATATCATTTTGTAATATAGGTCAAATCTAAACAACTGTGAATGCCCAAATGACTCTGATATCATTGCACATCCCTAATTTCAATGCTGTGAGAAGCATTTGTGCAATAAACAACTGAGAAGAAGAATGGAACAGTGTTTTTTTTTAAATGCCCCATGAATGCTGGCCAGACAATCATCTCGAATATTGTAAATTTGCACATTTTGGGCAAGAGTTGCTGGGACACCTTTCTTGAGCACTGAGAATATGAAACAGCACATGGGAGAGAGATGTGCATTTAAGGCTGGTCTTTAAATATTTTACATCACAAAGCAAGCTTCTTGGCTTCCTCCATTCTGTGTTTTTTCTCTTTGCCTTCCCAAAGTGGCCTTTCGCCAAGCTGCATCACCGCAGGGTTAAATGAATCACTTATGGGTCTGTCGAGGACTATTTCATCACATCAGCCACACTAAGGGCATTGCACTCACTGGAGTCATGCTCTACGTCTCCCTCTCACCGTATTGGGCACACTCTACATGAGAGTACATATGAACACATATGTAAACATGGTACTGTTACTTCAACAGACAGGTTACAATACTGTAGGGCAGTGGTCTGCAGTTCACTGTCCTGCATAGTTTATTGTTTTGTCTTGCTCTGACATACCCAGCTGAAGGGGGAGAGCTAGTTTGAACACTCTGAATACTGAATACCAGGGAGGGAGACTCGAGACGGTCCTGCTTGAGTCGCATGCTGACTGACTCGTATGTTGACTGGGACTCTTCCTTTATTTAGTCTCAATTTGACTTGGCTTAGAGACTAAAGACATGGGAAATTTCAGCCTGAGGAAACATGCGCAAAACTTGTATGTGTGTTCTGAGCTAACCGGGAGCCTCTTTGCCTGTCAGTTTTGCCACCGTCACACACAGTCATTTACTGCAATGACATTCTCTTGCAGCTGAATAAATGTAAAAGGAACAAACGCAAGACTGACCCTATTTTTGGTCATGTCTGGTGTACAAGCACACAGTCAGGTTCATCGCAGACAGCAGACCACAACTAAGACCAAATACAAAGTTGTATTCTGTGCAGTGTGTGAGGCAGAGCGCTCATATCACTAAGGCGGAGCTTAATTGCTAATGATAATTTGAAATTTAAAGCTTATGACTAAAGACTCGAGACGTGATTCAGACTTGCCCTAAAGTGACTTGTGAAGCTCAGCAACACACACCATTAAAACACAAAGAGTGACGTTTTTAGAATACACTTGTCATTTGTCAGACCTACTTGAAATCACACTGTTCCTCTGTGTTACTGGCTGGCAGTTTTCTTTATGCAATGCCTCTTTATGGTGTATTTGTTAGCTACTCTGCATAAAATGGCCAGGGATCAACATGAATGGATTATGAAAGCTTGGACTCTTTGTTTAAACCAGCTCTACTACTGTACAATTATCACTAGTCTATTTCAAATTAGTCCAAAGCATTTCAAAGGTGACAAATCTGCACAGATGATTCACTGTATATTTGCAGACTGCATGCTTAAAGCATTGAATAAGAGTAAAATAATGAGGATTAATTGCCTTTTTACAACATCATAGACTGAATAGTAGGGGAGCAAAACTAGAATCAGCCATGGTCAGAATTGACAGATTTTTGCTCAAAACATCCAATTTATTGTTTATTTTAATAGACCTGTGTTGCACTGTTATGATGTAAATAACGTGAAGCAGGTAAGTGCACTCGTGCTGTATTTGAATTCTCCTGCTACACTTGCTTTAAAGCATAATTATGCACAAATCATTGAGCTGAATAGCCACCCAGCTCTTACTTTAAATGTAGGCAAAAAATTGAAATGCAAATTTAGCCCATTAAAGAGCAAATAATGTTGTTGATATTCCAAGTTTGGCTAATCCAAAGGTACTGGAAATGTGCTACTGTGCTTCATGTGTTCATTTACCCCACACAGTGTGAGCTTTGGATTAAAACACAGGCTATTAATTGGCCAATTTGGCTGTAAAGAAATAACAGTCAGCCTTAAAAATGATTGATTGGTGCATCCTTACTAAAAAAAGATATTTCTTATTTATACTCTGAATACATATAGCTGTTACTTGTCTTTTGTTATAACTCAAGGGCAGCAGCACTCCAGGACCAGGGGTCTTATTTATCAATCTTTTATCTGCACAGATCTATTTATTCCTGCACTTGAGAACAAGCGTTCATTTAGAACTACTCCTAACGATGCATGTGCAGAAACCCCTAGTTCTAGATGTAATTGTGGGTTAACCAATAATAAGATGCACAAACACCCATCGTCAACCATGCTGGCATAATTAACAGAATGATTGCTGACTACAGGGCTCAAAGATAAGGAGCTGACAAGGGGCACTGATCACAGCAGATTTAGGTATATGGTAAATGTTACATTAAAAGCACAACTAAAAAATGACTTAAGATGCAGACAATGGCTGACCTTGCTTTGCTTGAATTTTTGCCATGTGGGTTGCATTGGGAGTGTGTTTTAGAAATCAGAATCAGAAATCAGTAAGTTAACGTAAAAATATGAAATGAAATTTGAATCCTGATGTCCAAATTCAGTTTAGTCAGAATTATACTTTAGCATCTACAAATTCAGTTATTACTGGCAAGAATTCATGGCTTTTCTCGATACATTTTCAAGGGCAAAAAAAACACTTACTACTTTAGATTTAAATTAAAACTTAATTAAATTGTCAAAAGTAAGGTGGGTATTACTGAATTATTATAATTTAATTATTATTACATGTTCAAATTTAATTCTTAGTAGTGAAAATTTAATTATGATATGTTAATTATTATAAATTTAGTTCTTACATGTAAAAATGGAAAACTACATTAAGAAAACAGCGAAAACATGGAGCATCTGGGCCAGTTTGAGAACCACTGCATTAGGCTACTGAGGCCTTTTAAAGTGAAGCTGTTCACATTATACAGCAATTTTGAGGAGTTTATGTAAATGTACCTGGCCATACATAAGCAGAGCATCATTACAAGGTGTAAAATGGATCATCAGCAGTGTGTGCAGTTGTGCATATGCATCCTTGATGAACATGCATAGTGGTTTGTACTGTAGAACATATTCTATGCATACTTTGATATGAGTCCCAGGACTAGAGAAGCACTGGTGTAGGGAGAAGCTTAATGTTGGACGTTCTCTTCAGTAAGTCAGTAGGCTTTCTCTTCACAGAACTGGAGTCAGTAGTTACATAGTAGTTACATACAGCTCCCAATCTGAATTCAGCATTTACTTAACAAGTCTTTTTACTCCCCACCTGAGTCATTTAAAGGCTTCTGTGCTCATTAGCAAGGCACCAGCTAGAGAGTTTCCGGGACACAGATGCTAAGAAATGAGCATGACTCAGAAAAACAGCACTCTGAAGTAGGACTATTGAGAGCAGTACTCAAAGGTCAGGGGACCTAATTAGTGGTGTTGAAAGGCCAGAGCTGTGAGTGAATAAGTCTCTTTCACACAAAAAAAGCTAAAATCGCTCAAGAGAGAAGCTATTACACACCTCAAAGGTCTCGCAAACCTCAAACAATCCCCTCTTTCACATCGCGCCTCATCATTTTTACACACCATGCAGGCCTTGGAGAATGAGAATGCTGGTCATGTATGGTAGTTTTGGCATGATTCAGGTGTTTCTACATGAGTTTCAGAACGGTGCATTAATTTTTATGGTGACTTAAGGTAAAGATTTGGACAAGGAGGCCCCATTAATATATATATATATATATATATATATATATATATATATATATATATATATACACATACATACATATACATACACACACATTCATATATATATTTTTCTACTTGTATTTACCAGTTTAGACTGCATTGCTGTGATAGATGTAATTAGGTGGTGACTCACTAATTCCTGAGTGACACTGTGCACAGTTTTAGTCTACAATTGGGAGAACATGTGTTCAGATCCCAACAACATTACAGCAATTAAAAAGTAATAGAAATCTGCAGGCTGTCTATCGACTGCCATCTTATTGTTATAAGTCAGCCTCTAGTTTTTGCAATTTATCATGCACATAAACCATAAAACTGGTTTATGCTGTGTGTACGTTTGTCTGGTAAGGATCATAGATGATACTCATCAGTGCTCATCAGTGCTATGTTTCTTTTCTCAGATGAATGCATCACGGCAGGAAGGAAAGCTCATGGAGGAGTGCGACCTATTGATCAATATAATTCAGGAGCGGAGACAGATCATTGGTGCTAAAATCAAAGAGGGCAAAGTAAGGATAATAACTGTTTTCACTATGGAAAATTCTTTACAGAAATCTGCTGTTTGAAAGAAACCGTTTCTTAGTGGACAGGCATTTAAAGCCAGAACATTTGAGGAAAAAATCCTATCCCAGGATGTCCAACAGAAGTTAGAATGTACAGAATTACTTCAATATCCACTTAAAATCATTTATTTCACCATTTCAATTAATCATAAGCAGTTACAGTTACAATATGATGGCTAAGCTGGCAAGTGAGGGCAAATAGAAAGAAAAAAAAACAAAAAAAAACAAGAAAATGAGAACTCAAGGCACAGAGGTCAGGATTTATTTCTAAAGAGTATGTGTTTATGCCCCTACCATATGCCTGGTCATATTAAAGTAAGGCTACTAGCTTCATGACCTAAATCCCTCTAAATCTCTCTGACCTACATGTAAATTACAGTTTTCTTACATCTTAACACATCCTATAGAACTGAACTCTAGTGTTAACATATGGTGTTGTTACACTAACATTTCTTCTGGATAAACGGTTCACCAATCCACAGAATTTGTCACTGACTTTGTACTTAAAGGTCTGTCAATAAATGTATGCATTTTATTGTAATTACTGGTTTATAATATATAATTTGTTGTCTTTAGACGGTCCGATTGCGCAAACTGGCACAGCAAATCGCCAACTGCAAGCAGTGCATAGAGCGCTCCTCTGCTCTTATAACTCAGGCAGACCAGACACTCAAAGAGACTGATCATGCCCGCTTCCTCCAGACTGCCAAGAGCATCTCAGAACGGTGAGCAAAACAAAAAAAAAAAAGAATCAACACCATCAAGTAGCGCTGCACAATATGGACAAAAATACCTGATTGTGACAATATTGCTTTACTGTTACATACCCTGATTTCTACAATGGTGTTTTAGGGCCACTGTTACGAAAAAATAAAAATGAGACTTTGAGAATAAAGTTGTAATATTTTGGGAATAAAGTCGTATTATTAGAAGAAAATCATAAAATTTCAGAAAAAGTAATAATTTTTAAAAAAATAAAAAAGTTGTAATATTTCAAGCATTAAGTTGTAACGTTACAAGAATAACCTCGCAATGTTTTGAGAATAAAGTGGGCTATTTGTAGGAGGTCTGCTGTAATGCGTTGGGGCCTCGGCTGTTGTACTGGTGAGGATGAAGATGCTGAGCGCTCTGGAGTTCTACTTCGGGATCGATCATTTGAAATATTCTTATTGTCTCCTGTGAAACTACATGCCCTCTTCGAATGGCATGGAGATGTAACCACCGATAGCCTTGTAGACGACACTGCCTGCGAGTTCTCCTTCAACAAAACAGACAATTTCCTCCAAGTTCATCTGGTTCTTTATTCTCAATAAACACAGTTTCTTGCAGAGACTTTATTCTCAAAATATAATGACTTTATTCTCGAAATATTGTGTCTTTATTCTCAAGGTATTAAAACTTTTGTTTCTAAATATTACGATTTTATTCTAGAAAATATTCTTTATTCTCAAAGTGTATTATTTTTTATTTTTTTCTAACAGTGGCCCTAAAACGCCATCGCAGATTTCAATTTGCCTTGCAATACATTTAAAATATCTTGCTGTTTCAAAGCAAAAAGATGCACTATTTGACCAATATAAAGACCACATAGTGGGCAGCCCTTAAGTGGTGCTTTCAGTTTCATGGTAGTCAGAACCCTGTACAAAAGATTTGCTGTTTTCATATATAAAAGTACGTAACCTGCCTTAAAGTTTTGATTATGGAGAATATCAAGTAGTAAGTTAACAGAACAGCAATTTGCCTTACATTCTATAAAAACCTATTATTCAATAAATTTCAGTAAAATAAAAATTTTAAGGCAGCCATTCATAAATCATAACTAACGATTAAAGATATATGACACCAGGCCCATTATTTCCACTGCTGTTTTAGAGTTTCCATGGCGACCGCATCCTCTCAAGTCCTGATACCTGAGATTAATCTGACGGACACTTTTGACACCTTTGCACTGGACTTTACCAGAGAGAAGAAAATGCTGGAAAGTCTTGATTACCTCACAGGTAAATGCAAATACTTCATGTCATATGATGTAGTACATAATATTAATTATGTGTCTTAAACAAGCTGTTTATGTAAGGCTGCTGCTAACATACTGCACCAAGTGTTTGTATTGGGAAGATATGTAAAAATCTTGCAGCACTTAGAAAGTTATGCATCAGTGCATGAAAATAATTACTACCTAACACATTTGGTGACTCAGATGCAAAATCATGCGTTTATAATTTGCGTTACAATCCGATAAGCCTGTGATGCTCCCAATTTTTACTCTCTGTTAGGCATTTCTGTTATATTGAGTTATTTGTGCTGAGCTAAATTTGTGGGACAGCTCGCTAAGGCAGTCAGGACAAATCTGTCAGCATTGTGCACTCTAAAATCTCTGCACTGTGCAGTGCAGCGCTGTGCTGAAGAGCGATCTCGACAAGGGGGGAAAGTAGCAGGGCTTTTAAGCCAAATCAGTTCCAGTCCCCTCACAAAATACTCACCACGCTGCCCATGGGCAGTCAAAGGAGAGCAAGCGAAGATTGAGAAGCAATTATAGATCATTAGTCGATTCTGTCAAAAGTGCTGCAACCTTTGGCAAACTGTTCCAAACCTGTTGGTGTCTTTAGCAGCAGCAGAACATAAGCAGAACGTGTTTCTTTTTTCTTTTCATTTAGAATGAGTGTTTTGTGCTCCAACCTGTTATCAAAACAGTATTTTCTATGTTTAATTATAATTTACTGTTCGTTCATCATAAAGTCTTTTCACACCAAGCCGAACACTAGACTCAGAGGAAGGAGAAACGGATTTGTCAAATAACAGCAACAAAGTTACCACTGTTTCTTCATCCAGTGCAATTCAAAGATGTATAAAGATGCATAACAGCCCATTCTGCTAAAAATCAGTCACAGCACAAGAAGTTCCATCAACTCACAGGAGCTGAAGGTCTACAGCAGAGCTGTGTTTCTATATGGTGGAGTTTGAGGCTGTGCTTTAGCTCGAAGCTCCGAGCATTAAAACGAGCTAACAAACTACAAGAGCAGTAATGATCCCTGACGGCATTAGTGTTAATGTGCACATTTTCAAAAACTGACACGTTTTTCGTTTGTCTGTAAAACTGAGCCTGTTTACACTTTGCATTAAAATGTATTTCATGTCTGGATCATACTGGCCAGATTTAATTTACATTTTTCACTAAAATGCATGCCCAGTTTGTAAACAAGCCCTCTGTGAAAAGGATTTGTAGCTTTGTTGCCCCCTGAGGTGCAAATGGAAACTGTCCTAGACATAGTGAACATGTAACTGCAGAATACCTGTGGTTTTAAATAACGGAAAAAAACTATACTTTTAACAATAATATGGCCCTGATTTATTTATCATTTTTTTCAAAACTGCTTTTTGTCCCAGCCCTAGTTTGATTTGTCTAACTCTAAAATGAATTTACTGCCAACACTTAGGCCCTTATTCATCAAAGTATGACATGAGTGCAGATTTGACTGTCCCAACTGATGTACGAACAACTACATGTCTGATTCAGGAAACTGTATGATGGCAAAATAAGCTGTAATTTAAGTGCAGTTGATGAATTAGCTTCAGTGCTCTCATATACACTATTTATTTGAAGCACGTAAATCATCCAGGTGTTTCAATAGTGAGCCAACAGAAGAAAAGTATTCTGTGGGCTCATGAGCCAATTTTTGTCCTCATTTGTGGAGTTTGCAGTCAAGCAGAACATGCACTGCTCCTCCTACTGGCCTGAGCTTAAATATCTTAAGTGTTAAAATTACAATGCTTGGAAAGAATGAAGAATATACTTTTCAGATTATGGAGTGATGTGACTGTGTAGTGTTACTATTTTCATAAAACATTGGCTGCCTGTGTAATAATATTGGATATGAGCTTCTACTGTACTAGGTAAGGGTTATGTTTTGTATTTTAGGTAGGAAGTTATTTACTGTAGCATAAAGCAAAAGTCCTATAGTCGTATACTCTATACTGTACTAGCTCCACCTGGTTTCATGTGACAGCGTGCCCCCCCCCCAAAAAAAAAAAAACTCCATTAAAAGTGAATAGCCAAAAGATGCACATAAAAACATTTTGCTGCAATAGTGTGAATACTACTTAACTTCACTAGTCTAGTATGTTTCTAATTCAGCCTCAAATGACAAAGAATACTTAATAATGTAATAAATCACTAGGTAACAACCTTTTTGTCAAATCATTGCTTTTGTACTGAACATTATGCATTGTTCTCATCTATTCCAGCACCCAGTCCCCCTGGCATCCGAGAGGAGCTGTGCACCGCCTCCTATGACACCATAACTGTGCACTGGACATCTGATGACGAGTTCTCTGTGGTTTCCTATGAGCTTCAGTACGCTATCTTCACTGGACAGTCCAATATTGTCAGTAAGTATGGCATGAAAAGGCAGTTTTAACAAAAGAGTACATATTCTACACCGTGTAAGAAGGTACCTCAGAATAGATACTGACAAATTCCAAAGTGGTATATTCTACCTCATGCAGTGCCTCTCTAATCCAAAGTTACCCATCATTCAACAAAACACATTTTTTTTATTTATTTGAACATTCACTTACTGTAAGAATTTATTATCTTTTTGTTTTAAACATTTGTATATATAGCTGAATTTAGATTTCATCTTTCCACTTAACACGAGACACATCAGCTGCTTGTGATTCGATAGTCTTTGGTTCTACGTCGCACACTGTCAACAATGTACTTTAAAATTGCAAGACAGGGCTCCCGAGTGGCCCAACCGTCTAAGCGTCGGCCCTGTCATCAGGAGATCGCGAGTTCGATCTCTGGTGATGCTACAGCCATCCGTAGCCGGGAGTCCGAGAGAGCACAGTTGGCCTCGCTCTCTCTGGGTGGGTGGGATGGCTGCTCTTCTCCCCCCCATCACTCACTCAGCACGATGCTAGTCAGCGCAGGCGTCTGTTAGCTGACGTAACAGATCTGGGGGTTGGCGCTTTCCTCCGAGCTCGTTCAGCTGTCCAATGACGTTGCGTGAGTGGCAGCTCGAAAAGATGCAGTGGCTGGTTTCACAGGTCTTGGAGGAAGCCTGTGTTAGCCTTCACCCTCCTAGCGTTGATAGTATCGTGTGTGATTGGGGGAGTCCTAACTAGCGGGTGGAATTGGCTACGACTAAATTGGGGAGGAAAAAAAAAATTGCAAGATAAAACAATTTGTTTCATTTTTTACTAAACTACAATTTGCATACCCAATGAAGTCAAAAAATACCATTATAAGTTCAAATATTTGCATATTTGACTAACCACAATTTCTAACAATTACATAATTTTTACTTTAGATTTTGCCCTTATGAGCACATGCTTAAGACCGCTTCAACATGCACACGTGTCTATAAACATGTGCTGAATGGTAGCACTGTATTACAGGAGGCATCTTTACAGTACAGTTTTGCAGTGCTGAACACAGAGAGTACAATAGCAGAACAGACGTGTGTGCATGCTCAGTGCTGAAGGCGAGATGGAGGCAGTGATGTAGAAATGTGGCCTGCAGTAAGTGCTGCACTACGCATTCATGCTGGAATATCATCAACAGAAGTCACTGGAGCAGCACAGTGTCAGTGCATTATCCCTATTCATTACACCCTCAAGAGTTATTAAAATGAGAAGGAGGCTAATTAAAAACTAAATACAAGTCTATGACACACTTACCTGGTTGATGCAGTATTTAGAACTATAGAAAAGGTCATTTTGCAGCAAGGCTACATTTGCATTTATTAACATCATATTTAATCAATGTAAACTTGAAATGCACATTTTCTATATGATTATCAGTTGAAGTTATAAATAAAGGACGAGGTAAGACATCATACACCGCAAAAGATCATGCTAGCCAGCAAATCCAGGGCAGTAGGAAAAGCACTTCGACTGCACTGGATGATTAAAACAGACATTATTACCACATGCAGGGAGATTCTCTTATTTACTTTAGATGTGCTGTTACTATGTGCTACTGGTGACTCAAACAAAACTTTGTTCACCGTCTGATAAAAACTGATGCATACAGGGGCATGCTTTCAAAAAAATGTGCAAAATACCAGTTATTCAAATAGCTTTCCCAGACAGAGCTCAAAATAGGGGGTGATGGTGAGCTCATCAACATTGTCTGCAGAGCAAGTCTGTCGTTCAACCATGAATAAAGTACAGTTAGTATGGCTGAAAAGTCCCGCATACTTAAATGAAGCATGTAGATGTGTGTTGAATGTGCGGAGAACACATTACATGTGATAAAAGTGAACAGCACTTTATGCAAGAGAAAAGCAGCTCTGTTAGCCAACGACAGCCTTTTGCTACGTAGTTATCGACTGTAGTCCCAGCTTTAAAAGAACACAGACTAGAGAATTTCTGGCTGTTTTTTAGAGGGGGTGTACCCCTGTTTACAGCACATTTCACTGCAATCCAGTTCCAAAAGGTTAACAAGTTGCCCTCAGATGTGTATTCTCATTGAGTGATCACACCTGCCCCTGCGAGACTAGCCAATGATAACAACCATGTAAGCCACAGCTTAAGGAAATAGCCACAATGAGTCCTATGTGCATTCCAAAGACTTGTCTCACTCACTTTAACACATGCACACCAGTTCTCAGTACACAGTTCTCAGTCAATTCTATGTCTAGACAAACTAGCATGAATAAGAGGGCTTTGACTGTTTCAGGTGGCATAATATAAACAGCAAAACTTACCTTACTTGCTTGTCCAGGTCTCTGTAACTCTGCTGATAGCTGGATGATCGTCCCTAACATCAAGCAAAACCACTACACGGTTCATGGCCTACAGAGCGGTACAAAGTACATCTTCATTGTAAAGGCCATCAATCAGGCAGGAAGTCGCAGCAGTGAGCCTGGAACATTGAAGACCAACAGTAAGACCATGTATCATGTCTTTTTGGGCTGGGCTTAGCTTCAAAGGTAGTATAATCCTGTTTCATACATGAATAAGTTCAAGATATTCATTCTAGCTTACTAGCTGATTCACTCATAAGTGATCCAATATTTCAAAAGCATGTATTTTTATAAGAGATTTCAGAAGAACAATACATGTGCATACAGTTTTCACTATGGATGCATGGTGATTTTTTAATTGGCAGATAACTGCTTAAAAATCTGCAGCATTTGACAGATGTTTAGATCTGACAGATATTTGAAACTGATATTTGATGGTGTATTTAGTGTACTCCAAAAGCAGATGCTGATTTATGATGCTATGTTAGATTTACTGCAGTTGTTACTCTTAGAAGTAAATGTTATATTTCTCCATATGCTAATGCTGGTCCAGCTAGATGAAGTCCCAATTTCTAAATCTTCTACTTCTGCATTGGCGTTGGCATCCTCAGATATATACATCAAAAATATCAGATATTGGCATCAGCGTTCATACTGGTGCATCTTTAGTTTTCACTATTAACAGCACTTTTAAGTGAACATTACTCATTTATCTTTCTTCATCGATGTTATCAGTGGCAAAAATAAAAAAAGCAAGTATCTTCCTCTCTAAATGTGTTATTTGTTGTCTTCTTGATTCCCCAGGTCAGCCATTTAAGCTTGATCCTAAGTCTGCTCATAGGAAGCTAAAAGTGTCGCATGACAATCTGACGGTAGAGCGTGACGAGACATCCTCTAAGAAGAGCCATGGTCAGGAGCGTTTCAGCAGCCAGAGCAGCTACGGGGTCACTGGAAACGTCTACATTGACAGCGGCCGCCACTATTGGGAGGCTCTTATTGGAGGGAGCACTTGGTGAGGCTTACAAGACGTCAATATTGTATTCTAAATTGTCATTAGAAAATAATTACATAACAAGCAGTTTTGCAGAAAAACTTTTGTGTCACTAGCGCTGTTGTAGACAGAAATCATCACAAAGAAACTAACAACTTTTTCTTCTCAGGTACGCAGTGGGAATAGCCTACAAGTCCGCACCCAAACATGAATGGATTGGGAAAAACTGTTCCTCGTGGGTGCTCTGCCGGTGCAACAACTCCTGGGTGGTTCGCCACAACAGCAAGGAGATGGCCATTGAGCCCTCTCCCCATCTGAGACGCGTTGGAGTGCTCTTGGACTATGATGCCGGTTCGCTGGCTTTCTACGATGCCGTGGGCTCTCAGCACCTTCACACCTTCCATGTTTCCTTCACCCAGCCAGTTTGTCCAGTCTTTAACGTATGGAACAAGTGTCTCACAGTTCTAACTGGCCTCCCCATTCCAGACCATCTGGAGGGCGTGGAGCCCCTTGACTGACATGGCAATCAAAAGTGGACATCTTGAGCTGCTTACAATTGCTTTCACCAGCTCGGACTATGTTAAGCTATCCCAAGTCACCCTATGCACCTCGGACCATCATTGGCCACTTAGTACTCCCCTCCTTTTACTCAGAGTTTCAAAGAAAACACTGACAGAAATTCTCTGTGAACAGACAGGAGGGAGTCTGATATCCCCTGAAAGGAAAAAAGTGTTTACTTCTGCTCTTACTGTACAGAAAACAGTGAAGTATTTAAGAAGATAAAAGTGAAATCATTTGATAGAGATATTTGAGAACTTTTGCACAATAATGTCTAGTTTATTTATGAAAAGGGTGGCCATCACAGTTGAAGTCAGTCTCACAATTTGATGCAATTCTGTAACTAGGCTACCTTGTGCAATCCCATTAAACATGCTTAAGCACGTCAGTTGCTTCATTGCATTAAGAGGCAAAACATCTATAAGACATGCGAATATAAACTGGATAGAAATGAGCCATTCTCACTTTGTAAAATAGAATCTTGCTTTAATACAGCAGGACTGATGTAATACATTGATCATGTCATGTGTTACTTTTTTTTTACGTAATATTAGTGTGTCTTTTTGTTTTTGTTTTGGTCCATGATGACACACATTTGTTTTTCCATATACATGTACTTTATGTTTCTGACTATTCTAATGTTACAATAATACACGTCTGTAAAATCCACATTTTGGATATCTGGATTTCTAGACAGATAAACATCTAGATAAACGTCGAGGTGAAAAAGGTCTGTTGATTTTCAAGATATAAGATGAACTGACAATGTACCGTATGAATATGAACTGGATTTTGTTGGGGAAAGTTGTTTTTTTTTTTTTTAATAGCAGTGGTGCCAGTGTAGTTCAGATCATTTACTGACCTAACATAGCTTATAAATTCAAAACTACAATTCATGTCACGGTGTATGTATCTTGCTGCACAGATAACACAATGGTTGAGACCTCTGGATGGACTTGATCCCAGAGAGCTAATGACCATCACACGGACTGTACAAGCAGATCTGTTCACACCTTCACTCTGTATCATGACAGCGTTCTTGCCTTCAAACTGAAATGCTTGCTTAACGATGTATATTATTTATGTTGCTCCAATAGTTGTTTATGTGAAGTTCTAAAAGACAAAAAATGAATATTTTGTTTAAGTTTAAGATGAAGTCTAAGCATTTTCGAAGATGCTATAATCTATGTGGCAAAGGGTCAGCTCTTATCTCTTTGTATATAAACTGTCTGCCCCTCTTTCCTGAGGGTAAAACGTTGTTGACATACCCTGTTTTGATCCTGTGGACACTTTTGCAAGGAGTTGTTTTGAAAGCTTGTATCACTGTGCAATTTTTGTAGCATTTGTGAAAGACTGATTAAAGGTATGGGTCACTTGTTGGTATCATGCTTTCATTTCTGACTTACATAAGTACATAGTTAGCTACTTTACATTAAAGTCTTAAAACATAGTCGTATGCAAAGATTTGGGCCCCCATGGTTAAATGACGTTATTTTTCTAAGTGAAAATAAATTAAATACCTCCATAGAGAACATTTCTGCACAATTTCATATGCAATTATTGTTATTTCCTGAGTTTAACATATCGTGGGGGGAAAAAAAAACTACAGCACAAAATGTATTCTGTGAAAAAAGTTATAGCACATTTTATACTTATTTTTTCCAATGTGTTAAACTTAGCAAATACATAGAAACTGCACTCTAAGACTTGCAGGAAATGCCATTTCGAAGTTTGTTTCCTGTACATGTTAACTTCTTTTCATTGAGAAAATCACCAAAACAAGCAATTTGACTGAGAGTATTCATACTTTTGCATACAACTGTAGATCAAATGTGGCTGTACTGAAAATGTACTTCTTTCAATGTTTTTGAACACTTTCAAACCAGAACACCATTAAATTTATATTACTTGCCCACCAGTTCTCACAGAAAGACAACCCTCTAGGATCTTACTTCTTAAAACTCAGTACGTCCTGTACTGTCTATCATTCAGGATTCCTGCTTTCCACCCAGTCAACCTGGGTTCAGCTCCCAGTAAGAGAAACTGGACAGCTGTCAGCAGAGCGAATGGAAGAACCCAATTTAATAACTGAAAATGATTTAGAAGCAACGATGTCTCAAAAAAGAGCATCCAAAGAAAGTGTCTACAACGATTTTGGGTGATCTCATCATACTGCACAAGGCAATTAAACCACAGCCATTCCTTAAGGTCATTCTTGTACTTACAATTCTATGTATAAAGGGAATAACGACAAATGAATGCAACATTTTTAAATAGATCATTATGGGAGTGCAGGGCACAATCTAACACAGATTAAAATGTAATAATGGGCTTTTTGTGTCATGAAACGGGTTCAGGTAAAAGTGCGTTCAGCCAGTGTCTTATATTTCCATAACAGCTGTGACTTTCCACAGCAATCAGATGAATATTTCTCAAGACCTTTTTTGCACCATAAAAGTGACTTATTTTTCCCATCCTATGAGTTTTTCAAAGTCACAGAATTCACAGCAATATTATTTTAATTGTCGTTTCTGTAACACAGCACTATTTTAAAGCATGTAAATGACTCACAGTGAGAGTTAGCCAGGTTAAAATACAGCTACTGGGCACTGATATTAGCTCTTCTACTTTGTGGTTAAAAATAAATTTGCCACATTTGACACATTCTCTTTTCATGAATCTTTTATTTTGTTGCATGTACTGATATGTGTATAGAGTGGACAGCTCATCTGGTACAAACTACGTAGATATACTATTGAATTACTAGCAGAGATGTGAAGGGTGCACATATACATACATATAAAAATTTTTTTAAATGTGTGTGTGTGTGTATATATATATATATATATATATATATATATATATATATATACATACACACACACACACACACACACACATTTAAATGCAGAAAGAATGTATAAATTTGCCTCTACTATCTATGGCCTATTATGTTTCAGGCAAACTGGTCACTAATACTATCAGAAATGACAATGACCAAACAGAGGGTAACAGAAACATACCACTGCTGAACACAAACAAACAAAACTTTGAATTATCTTGGATGTAATTATAATTGCTGTGGGTTTTCCATACTACAGGCATATTTACAAACACCTGACAGTTTTTAGTTTAGCCATTCTGAATGAGGCGATCTGTTTATTTTATAAACTGAATATGCTAATGGGCAGAAATACGTTTTTGCATGAGGTAACTGAATGATCTGCTTCAGATGGCAGACTCTTCTGTTTTGAAGGCTTGAAGGCATGCTGGATAATTTATGCTGAGCGCCCTCTGGTGGATTCAGGAGACATAACATTGACTGGGAAATCCGGTATTTACTGCAGTTATGTAGCTTTATACTTATTTTCTTTGCAAAAGAATGCGTTATGAAAAAAGTATTTAAAATTTGAATATACTAAAATATTTGACACACAAAAAAAAGGAGAATATCTAAATGTAATTTCTGATCCCATCTGACAGCAGACTGAGGCTCAGCTGCTCTCATGCTGTACGGTGCTATTATAGAATCCTCAGTGCTCACGGGAAACCCATGGATAAATAAAATATACAGTCATTGGATAGAAAATGCAACAACTGCTGTATTAATTGAACGCCAGTGATGAAAATCGGAAATTGCCTTCACCCCTAGTTATGGGCCCCTGGACACAAATACTTGTTGGGGTCCTACCTGGCTACCTTTTTTGGGTGGTCAGTGATTTTTTTCCCCAAGATATCACAGCAAGGTAAACAAGGCCTATGCAGCACCACGACAGCAGCACACTAACCACAGTGTTGGCACATCACTGCTATGAGTGCACGCTTTTTTTCCAGTCGAGACAAAACAGTAGAAAAATTACTCACACATTAATGAGAACACAGGTTGACATAAACCCAACAACCAATGCAACAAATCTATATAAAGCTTGCATCCACTATTGACAAGCAAACAATTAACCCCAACGAAGACGACAAATTAAAATTGAACAACTGAAATGTACATAAAGACAGAAAAAAGCAGAAAATGTAAAAACCAAGCCGTCAAGCAGCCCAGCTAAAGCATACTGCCACGGCAGGTTTGGAAATGTTTATTATTTTCTCCATTTTTATCTTTCCTCGAATGATGCAGATCACTGACAAACTAACTTTTTAACTCAGGTGGTTGGCATTTTATATCTGGCTTTAAAAACAGACATCTTCTGCTCTGTCAAAGTTTCAGGTATTGCTTTTACAGATGCCTTACTCATGTATTTAATAGTGCTCATAAAACCCATTGGACGGGGCCTAAACATAGGCAATTCATGTGATTTTCAGTTCTTCTGAAACCTGCGTTTACATGATAAATGATGTCAGGTAATTACCAGAGATGTGGAAGTGGAGGTGGTGAGCGTGTCACAGCACCCCCAGATTTCAGGATTGACTGGTACTGCCAAAAATAATAATAACAATAAAAGATTTTCATTGTGGGGGCGCGTTGTTAAAACACTAGCAGGTTGAGGTGGAAGTGTGTGCAGAGCAATGAGCTATTTCTGACCAGAAAGCTGCAAATGTAGTTTAAGTAATCTATTATAATAAAGCTTTGAATATTTGAGCTTTTTTATTGTTATATCTCCCTCTTTGCATGTGTTCGAGTGTTAAATCTCAGTGTGAGACTGTGGGTGTGACAAAATCAGATACCACACCACATATCAACAATCTGATTGGTCGCCACTCAGCTCATTTACATGAGGTACAATATGTTCTGTTTGCTGTAAAACATAAAAAAAAACGGTCAAATTGTTTTACATGATATCATCGTTAACATCACGTATATGTTGCTTAAAATATCAGCACCCACCAACTTAAAAAAAAAAAAAACCTTCCCATGTCCTTGTGAATGTCTGAAAGTAATAAATACATTCAGATGAAGCTTATTTTGATCCACTTATATTGCTATAACAAAATACACTACTTTTAATGAAAAAACTTTAATGGTCTCATTTGAACAAATAAGATAAACACACTTAATCAAGTTTAACTAGCAAACTAATGTGATTTATGTTAAAATGTCATGCTGAACGTACCAATCGAGGCGGCCCAGAGATACAAGGTTTGTATTGGTAAAGACAATACATATAGTGCATGCTTTGCTGTATGTTTGGTGACTTCTCTCTGAATATGGGTTACTTTTTCTGAGTCTCTTATAGTACCAGTGAGTCTGTATTATATAACCAAAGGTATGTGGTCACCTGACCATCACACCTATTTATAGTATTCAATTACATCATTAAAAACACCCTGTTGCCATTTTGGTAGGCAAGCAGTAGCTCTGGCTGTGCTCTGATATAGCTTGTCTAGTCACCGTTACTGCAGTTACAACCCTGCAAGTGGATGAAGACCAAGCAAAATAGACCAGAATGACCACGAAAAAAGATGACACTTCATATGTGGACACTTTAGATGCAGTTCAAAGGAAATGCTACAAAAAGAAGATCAGCTAGATTGGTTCACTCAATCCGTACTGCCTGCATATCTCCAGAGTTCAGAAAATTCCGAAGTGTGACATTTTACAAAAAGTATCAGAAGTGGCTACCAAAACTGCCAAAGATCTTAAATAAACTCAAGTTCCTCTTATTTGGATTTTATGTTGCACCTTAAATTGTCCTGCAGTTACACTGAGGTGCCTTAAACAGAATGAATTTGGTGAAAACAAAGGCATCAGGTACCTCATTAAATGCATTATTTCACCTCATAAATGCACCTTTAATCAAGAAATACCTTAAACTTTCACTTGGAAATGTTTAATGATCAGGTAACAAGCAGCACAGCAGAGCAATAACCAGCCGCTAGAACTGCTGAACAGGCTGATCTAATGTTGTGTACTAAACCACACACTTCTGTACTTCACCTTCTACCTAAAGAATGCACTTCTATTGGTATAGCGCTATTTTTTGCATACTGTTTAGTGAGGTAGTATGCGGTTTGGGATGTGGCTGAAGTAACGCAGCAGGAAATCTCAGCTGTTTAGGTTTCAGCTTTTGTTACCACTACAGCAACAAATCAAAATCTAAAAATTAATTACAATATTTAAAATAAATCACAAATATAAAATGCTCAAATATATTGGTAAATATGTTTTAACTGTCATTGGAATACTATGAATATGAGCTTAGTTGGATGTCATATTTCAACCATGAGCATTAATATGGAGTTCCCCCATCCCCACACCCACTCCTCTAGCTCCACTCTTCTATGAAGGCTTTCCACAATATTTTGGAGTGTGTCTGTGGGAATTTGTGCCCATTCAGTCAAAGGAGCATTAGTGTGGTTAGGCACTGCTGTTGGACAAAAAAGCCCAGCTCATAATCAATGTCCCATTTTCTCCCAAAGGTGTTCAGTCTGAT